GTAATATCACAAAAATTCATAATCACATAAAAGGAAAACAATTTTTTTGATATAAGATATCAACCGACCATCATTAATTTCGTTAGAGCTTTCAAAAGTCACGAAAAAAATTTGTCCATACATTCAAGCTTGTCCAGAGAAGAAAAGTTTTATAGGTGTGGGAGTTGGGAGCAGATAGAACAATCTGAGAACCGCCCAACAGTGGCTCGATTACAAATTTTGAAGGTTTATACTTCTATGTTCCATCAATGTGAAGTAACTCCTACAAAACACTGGATAATGATTGTGAAATGAGTTTTTAGACCATACTGCAAAAGTGCTGAGGGAACACCAACATTGAACTATTCCATGTTGGTGTCAGCAATGACCCATTACCTACTAACCCCAACAATAGTTCCCGTAACAATATCAGTAATTCAGTTATAGAGTAAATCAGCACAATCCATATAAGAATAGGCCGTAATCCTGAAGACTAATCACCGAGCATCCAGTTCGGGGTAGAAGGCTCACGCAAGACCTGTCTCACAGAAAACAAATGGCCAATATCCAATATAATAAAGACAACATCTCAAAGATCAACCCTTGACCTTTATAATAAACATTCTTTTTCAAAAAAAAAATGATAGGAACCTACCTGCAGATAATACGTGTATGGAACAAGCCAAATATCCAACAGATACAAATGGATACAGGTAATTATATTGCAGTGCAAGAAATATGATACCCAAGGTCCCATATTGAAACTAGAATGAGAGAGTTTCAAAACAGATATCAAAGAATTCTCCCTTCCGATAAAATAATACCACACTAGTCTAAACACAAGACAACTAAATCAAGTAACACAATGATTTAATATCTTAAATAAGATGAAGAAGCAAGGGAGAAATGTGAGAGCATAGACCAAGACTCAGAAACCAATCATACCCACTGCTCCAAAGACCATCGATCAACAGGGATCTCCCAACAACATCAACCTATTCTCTCCAAATCAGAAAAAAAAAAACTTCACTGCCTTGAACAATTGCAGATTTACCGATTGTATTTTGTAAGGCAATAAACCAACGGAGGCAGTAAATTGAGATTACAGAACAATATTGCACAAAACAAGAAACGGATTCTT